TGGAGGGTCAACAAACTGTTAGGTTGGAGGCCATGGCAACAACTAGGTTGGAGGGCAGAGCGGTCTTTGATTACACACTGGAAATTTAACATGGCACCTGAAAACCACTGGGTTGTGGAGGAAAATAGTCTTCCAAAGGTCCATGCCATCAGGTTCCATGTGAGTCTCTTCGCGGGTGTATGTGTTTCCTTCGGTCACAAAGATCGATCGCTGCGGGCTGCACCAAGCGACTCTGCGGGCTGCTCGGCCATGGGGGGGCGACACGGGCTCTGGGATGGCCACAGGCTCACTCTCAGGAATCGACCTCGGGCGCTGGGGTCGGGCCTGACCAATGGGAAGACAAAACATGGCGTTGTTCAATGATTTATGATCGCATTGAATATAGTGTTTAATTGAGGTTGCTGATTGGTGTTATTGAGCGATGTTCGTTTTAATGAACAGAACTGCTATTGTTTGATTGGTGTTGATGATTTTTGTCTGGTTGACTCTAGCAGGTTTCTTTTGATCAAGAATAGCCTTTTGATCATGAATAGCCCACCCCTTCTCTTCAGGATGGTCAAAACGTTGCAACATTCAACATTACTATGCAAAGCCTCTTTTGGGGGATTCATTCATCAAAGGTCTACCGAGTCACAACCCACCCCAGTCCAACATCCGAACGGTCCAACCGGACGGTCCCTCCACCAGTTCCGTTCATTCGCGGGTCTCCCGGGCGCCCCCGCGACAACAACAACTGTGTGGCCTGATCCAAGTTGCCTCGGACGCCCGATCGGACGGATGGTGAAGCGTGAATTCGGTAGCCCGACCAACGGCATTCGGCTGAAAATTAAAGAAGAACCGGTATCACTGTATCACTGTGTGTCTAACCAAGATGAACCGCAAAGGGTCTTGGCAAAAAGAATTCTGCTGACTGATAGTTGCAATTTAGACTCTAGACTCCCCCAAAGACTATAGGGTCCCACCAGCTCCCAGCTCCGACATCGAAAGGCCAACTCATGCCACACGTCACCGCCGTGCCCTCGCTGCACCGCCGCGCCCTCGAGCGCAAGTCCCGGGCCGTTGCAGGCTTCCAAGGCGTTGCGTGCGGCCACCTCCTGAAAACCCATGTCCTGGGCAAAACACAGCGGAAAACACTCCTGCGCTGCGGAAGAATGCTTATCGCATCTGAACCGAAAATCCAGTCTGAATTCCAGTCTGTGGAAGATTGGCCAATCACTTTTGGGGTGCTGTCAGGGGTCCATGTAGGTTAATTAATGTTTTTCCAGGTGTTACGGAGAACATCGCTGATCTTGGAGAACAAACCATCGAAAGCTGGAGAGGTCCGAAAAGAATTCAACTTACTAATCCTGCTTCTCCCTGTCCGTAGCTGGGATAATTGAAATTTCCAAGTGTGCTCATGCGTCTTCTCATCTCCTTCAGGCTCTTCACTGCTTGCGGAGAGATGGTGACGCCTTCGTCTCACGGCGTCAACGACGAGGCGATTTCAAAGTTGCAAAGCTCAACAACTATAGGCTATAGGAGCATACATTGGGCAGGCTGCATCAAGAGTTGATGATGGTGGGCAAAGGTCTGCGCGGCCTGTATTCCAAAACAATACACGCAATCTTGCAGCATCTTCTACTGACTGTTGATGCCATGGCTAGCATGAGAGGACTCCTCCTTCAAAAAACATGGACGTGGGGCTTATGGCCCCTTGGAAGGCTATCTTTCTCCACTTTCGTCCGGCCTGTCACTGACGACGAAACCCCGAAAAAACGCTATGCCGTTGAGCAACTTCCGTCGGGTTGATCAAGCGAGCGGAACGGGATGACGCCGTTGTGTCAGCCGGACAAAGAGTCTCCGCCCGGTCAGACCGTTGACCTTCAACGCCCCCCCAAAAAAAGCTGGACAAAAACATGAAACAAACTCATGAGATTTACATCGGTGTCAAAAAAAGGCTTCACTGACTATATAAAGCGTCAACCTTTTCTGTTGTTGTGCCGTCTTCTCCAAGTGGGTTCAGCAAAGCACCCACCATGGCATTTTGAGGGAGGGTGTCTCTACTAACTCTATTGACTCTAACCCTCCAGGTTGTCCAATCCGGTTGTTCGGTCCAAATGAGAGGCTTATAAATCAGGAGCCCCCATATAAACTCTATTTGCACTCATACCTTTTGTTGGATAGACTGGTCTGCTTGGAAGCTTCGCTCTATTCCGCAGAGCGCGTCCCCCGCTTCTCTCCGGCCATCTGAGCCGGTGCCCGGTGCCTCCGGTCAAACCGGGAACCACATCTCCAGTGCTGTCAGCTCCTGAGGTCCGTGGGGGACCGTTGGGATGCAAGGAACGCACGATCAATGACCACCTCACGACACGTTCAAGTTAGGTCGGGTGGGGCATGGAGGTGGAACATGGTCACTTGGAAGAACTCCTTTCCAAAGAGCGTTTTTGTTATGCTTCCATGTTTGTTTGGTGATGTCTATTTCTCAGGCTGCTTGCGGGGACTCCAGAAATTCATGTCAAGGTAGGATTCCAAGATCCTACCAAACTAACAGTCACATGAAATGACCCAGAACACCTGCCGCAACAAATGCACATTGTCTGCAAATTGTCCCTCTTAGGTAGCAATCTTCCCATTCAACAACCCTAACTTATCCTAACATCGGTGTGTGTCACTTGCCTTTGATTCCAGCTTAATCTCCATTCATCTCCCTTTCATGTCCTTTCCCCTTGAACACATGTCTCCTTTCAGTTGGGTCTCGGTTCTTGTCTGGGAAAGGGTTGAGTTTGTTATAGTCTATTCACCGGGTCCGTGACAAAAGGGAAGACACATGTCATTCCATCCAATTCCTTCCACCCCCCGGACAGCTCTCTAGTTGCATGATGTTGCATGATCCTTGCCCTCCATTGGGTCCATGCCCCTGCCGTCCTGTCTCACCACCACCTTAGAGGGAGACAAATACGAGCGACAGGCGAGAACAAACGCGGGGCCAACGCAACCCATTGCTACGAGTCGGAGATTGGTGTGGTGGATGTGGCGGATGGCCAAGTAACTCGCAACAAGCGGCCGATTTCAGTAATGATTTCCATATAGTTTCATGCTCAGCCAGGCGCATGTCATGCAGGTGACACACGGTTCCCCCCCATGTTCGGTTCATCCCTGGTTGTCCACATGTTCACCGGAAAAATGCATGTTTTGGACCCCACAGTACCTTCTCCTCTTCAGCCTCGGCTCAATGAGTAGGGCTTTGAACATTGTATGATAAAGCCCCAAATGGGTAGAACCATGTAGAAACGCCAGGGAATCGGACCAAGGAAGCGCTTGAGAGCCTAGAGCCGTTGGGCGCCGGCGCGGGCGCCTGAGTACAGCATGCAAATGGACATCCCAGTGCTAAAACGTCTGTTTGTTGACATTGGAAATCACCAAGAAGTGTCCTATACTTTCCATGTCACTAAAACTTCGGCTTGTAGAAGTTGGGAGTGGTCCTATACTTACTTACCCCAGTCCGGCCCCGGCCGCTGACCACTCGGCCGCTCCGCTCTTCCACTAGGCTGCCAAGGTGCAGCACGTCTCGGAGATGACCTGTCGCGTCGGCGTCTCGGATCGAAGGGTGGACGGAGATGGACTGAGGACTGAGCAGGATGTGTAGAGTCGATACCCTGTTTGATGGTGCCAGGAGGTGAATGAGGATCCAGTCTTAATGAACCGTTGTGCAAATCAAGGGTTCAAATCACACCAAGCAAAGTGAATCGAGGATGGACCTGGATGGACTATATAATCTTGGAAGGCGTATGCTCCACCTGCATGGAACCTGCAGGTTAAAAAACACGGACTGGGCTCAATGTAAGAAACTTGTAAATTCCTCAACCATATGACCATATCAGTTTTGTTTGCAACTATCCTGTACATGCAGCCAGCTTGAGAGTAGCATTTCATGATACTTTCAGCAAGTCACTGTTTGAGCGACTTTGAACACACCCATGTACAGTACTCACATACCTGGCCTCTTTTTATATGCTTTTACGAACATCCGTTGCCCGTCCAGGTGGCTTTCTAGCAGGCAACTACCTGGGCAGCTTCTGCTGTTCAATATTGTAGGAGCTTGATGTTCCTTTCTTTCCTATTAAACTTGAAGGGTACATTAGGAGCAAGCTCTTCGTGGGTCTGTCTTCAAAATCTGTTACTGCCCTTTCACACCCGGAAAAAAACACAGCTGGTCCTGGCTTTTGTCGAGCTGCACGCACGAAAATTGACGGCTCCAAGTGTTGCTGAACCAAATACATACAATAAACAAATAATCAACTTATGCTTAACCACCAAGAGCTCTCCCCAAAAGGTCAGTCCTTGAGGCATAGAACCATACAGGTCAGTCCTTTGCTCAGTTCCACGCCCTGCCCCCTGCCGTTCCAGGCCTGGCCCATATTGACAAAGACCCAAAGCTCAAAAGCAAACGTCAAACGTAACTCTTTCTCCGTCTCTTTGAGCCACAGCTTTGCAAGGCTGGCTGCATAGGGAAACGTACACTGGAGCCCTGCTTCGCCAATTTCTTCATGTCCTGTTCTTACAAAGGCGAAGCGCACTGAGTGAACAGTCCTGGATGGCCCGGAAAGAGGCTTTGGTAGCTTTGGTAGAGGACAAACAAAAACAACTTCCACCAGGAATGGTCCGAGGCCACCAGAATAATGATAACCATAGGATCCAATTTTGATTCTATGATCTTATCACGATATTCTATGGATCAAATTGGTATCCATTCTGACCCAACATCCCAAGGGGCCTGATTCCTCCAACAAGGCCTTCTTTGTGAACATCGGAGCACTACTGATCCAGTTCTCTTTTTCAAGAGTATAATATACTTCAAGACTGAAGAATAGAACATGTGCAGCACAATTGGTTTGAAAACACCAGAAGTCAATTTGAGGTCCTACTTGCTCGGTTGAGTGTGTGTCCCTTTGCTCGTTGTGTCCCTTGGACGGACTCCAACGGTTCACTGGTCGAACGTTGGCTGGCTGAAGGCCCCCCACTGACACGATGCTGCTGAGGAAGGAGATGTGCCAAGGCCTTGATGTGTGGCCCTCTGTACGCCACCAAGGCCTTGTGTAGCCTGGAAAACACCTATTCTCACAAGGCCTGTGGGGGGGGGGCAGGTGTCGGGTCCCCGGTCAGTCCGGTCCAGCAGGTCCACAAGCGCCTCGACCAAAAAATAGGTAGTTACATCCTATATAACATATTCCTTCGGCCCTCTTTCACTCCTCTTTCACTCCTCTATCGCCATATTTGGTCCTTTTACCAACGCCAACACCGCGCAACGGCCAACACCGCGCGAATCCCCCAAAGGTTCCGCGCACGAAGTGCCCTGCACGCTTGCTCCGCACCTCGCCCGGCGAAGAACGCTGCGAGGACTTCATTGTCCATTGGAAACAGTGTGTTTTCTATTGTATATCTTCCAGTGTCAAAGGCACTCGGGAGAAGAGTGTTGACCGCAGCATCAAAAAGGCCACAAGTCAACAACATCAAGATACATCAAGATCATCAAGCGTTGTTTTATGGTGCCTCACTGGCGGGTTCCAGCCCTGGGTGGCAAATCAGGCCAACGTCTTCGACTGGAGCGACCCAATCGACCGGAGGTTATTCCCCCCCTGTGGAGTCCTGCTGATCTCGTGATATCACCTGATCTGGCATCCACTTGATGCGAGGCACCAAGTTCATCATATCACATATGATGCCCCCTATTTGGAGGTTTAAGGAAGGCCTCAAAATACTTAACGCAATTCCACCGACAACAGCTCCATGGTCCCATTTGGGGCCCTCGTGTTGGGTGTGCAAAGCTTGCTCCACACCCATTGTCCATCTGAAACACATCAATCGGCTGGGGAAACCCTATGCGTCTCTTCTGACCGCGACAGTTGCGACATCCGCTGCTCCGCGCTAAGGTTGCTGCTAGCATGTTACCAAAGCACTCCACCAAGGCCTCGCGTTGAAGGGACACGAGTCGGTGGAATTTCCAAAGGAGCGGCATTTCAGGCTTCAAAATACTTCTAACTCATCAAAGGTCAATCACCCAAGTCAAGAATGGAAGATATAGAATAACAAAACGGAAAAATGCACGTGCTCCGAGTTCCGGTTGGTCTCATTTAATCCAATGCAGTGAAAAATCCTCACGGCAAGGCCTGGCCTCTGGTACCAGCTGGCAATTCTGCAGGTTTCCGCCTCGGCGGAGTTGACGCATGACCAGGCATGCCCTGAACCGGGCTGTGGCATGGACTGCCCGCAAGTCGCGCAAGTTGCTACAATATTCAAAAAAACACCACGAATCAAGCAACGGCCTGCTGCATTGACATCTTCGACTGCTACGGTTTTGCAGGTTCTTCCACTGGTTTAAAGATTGTTTCTGTTGACGGCAATGTTGGCCAAATGTTGGGTCGTGAGTATCAAGGCAAGGTCCCAAGCCGGCGCATGGCTCCACATGCGGTATATCAGATTATCAAACATCCCATTCGGTACCATGTACACGAACGGACTTGTTGTGGTATCCTTCCCATTGGTCCTGGAACCCCCTCCCTCAAAAAAAAAGTGTTTTATGAAATTGTTTGGTATAAAACATCTAACAAAACAAGGCACTTACCAATTCAAAAAGCAAAAACAAATGAAAGGACACACATAAAACAAATACCACCAATAGCAAAAAGCAACAAAATGACAAAACCAAACAACCCCAAAAACAAAAAACACAAAAAACACAACGCCTCAAACAATGTGTTGTTTGTTTTCATTGTGTTTTTTGGTTGTGAAATCAAAAAAGAATGTGTTGCGTTTTCAAAGGTTGTTTTCTTAAAATCACAACCCTCAGCAAAACCCTCTCTCTAGAATAAAGTCATAATTGAACGATATTGCATTGAATTAGAAATAACGTTGCATTTAACTAGAATCAAATTAATATTAATCTATATTTAAACGCAATTACATTGGTATTCAAAATAGAATTAAACGCTCCCAGCTACAAGGCAACATCAAATAAAACCGTGCAAGCAAACCAAAAAGGTAGACATTTTTTGGGGGTAGCATATAGATATATACACATGTTGCGGAGAATCTGGTCCATGAAGTGACTAGAAGCCATCTCCATAAGAATCTCCAAAAATCACAAGAAACGCCGTTATACTCACTGGGGTTAGGCAGGCCATGTCGTCTCATAGGCTTGCTATTTTGGAAGAGAGCGCGCACGATGAAGATGCTGGGAGAACTGTAGCGGATCTCATACCAGACCCGGAAAACCCAAGATTTCAAATGCCGTTCAAGCGGTCTAGAGTCTAGGGCTCGCTCACTTCCTAGGAAGAGAGGCAAAGGACAGGCCATAATACTGAAAATAAAACGGTCCAAGACCGCTTCACTTCCAACAAGAGAGTTCAAGATCATCCTTGCTGAGCACGCATGTGCTGCTGAAGATGGCATTCTTGTAGACCTTGAAATCCGCTGTATCCTGACTGTTGTAGTCCTCAATCATCATCCCAAAGGTATCTCTCTTGGCCATCTTCTCGTTGCCATTGCTGTCGTACCACCAGATGGAGTACTTGTTGCTCCCCAAATCTTCCAACTTCAACTTGTTGTAACCTCAGGAATGCACAACCATCCAAGCGCACAATCCAAGCAATCCATGGGTACGCATGAAAACGTGTGACAGCTGGGATTTTTGTGGCATTGTCCATCGTCTTTTCAAGTGCCAGAATGGCCAGAATCGGAGAGTCTTGACATGTGGGTATGTGATATGTGCTTTAATAGAAGTTCACCCCCTGATTATTATATCCAGAAATTGGCTACAGAAAACCAACGGACTTTCACACACCAAAGGTCTGCACAAGTCACTGATAAGTGAACACGTAATTGAAACAACTTGTTCACAATGTTATCTAAAACAACTGGCTAGTTTGACAAGTTTGCAAATCTGTTGCTGCCAATCATTTTTTAAAGACCCATTTCGAATTAAGCCTTAAACTAAAATTAGTCAACAACATATGGGTCTTTTCCGTGGTCGACCACACTCATTTTAGATAGCCGGTATCAACGGGGATGTTTAAACACATGCAGGACACAAATTGCTTCTTGTTAATGTGATTATCCAGGTTGCTCTGGGATCCATGTTGCTTGCAATAAGCCGGCGCCTGGTTGTTGGTGCCACAAGTCACAGTCTTGCCTTTGGCGCTTCGGCGGCGAGTGGCGAAATCTGCCTCACAGGCATGACGTGTCAACTGAGCATCATGTCAAACATTTTGTTGATGACAAATTAAATTGGATCTGAACTTGACAAAGCTAGTGTACCAAAAATGATCCCCAGTAACTCAGCACTTCTTTCACTATCGTCCTTGCCTTCAGTGTACAGTAGCCATCCCCGTTATCCTCGAAGTAAAACCGATCACGGCCGTTGTTGATGGAGGAGCAAGAAGCTGAGTCGATGGTTTGTGCCCCGCCACTGTTCACGCCCTCCAAGCACATGCCACCTCCAAACAGAAAAACCGCTCAAAGTATATATATATATAATTCTCAAAGTTTGATGTTCTCCGGATGATTCTCGCAAACACGATGGGAGGAAAAATAAGATCCGCAGATTCACAAAAGAATGACCCTTTCAGAAATGTTCACAGCAACCAAACAAAGAGATTTCAGTGACTGCTCACTATTGCCAGATTGGATGACCATAATACGATAATTCGATCCTTTCAGCACTGCGCCCTCTATAGACATCTTTGTATCTCTGTCCCTCGCACAGTACCTGACGTCAGCCAGGAGATGGACACATACTCCGTTGCATCGCCACAATCCACGGTGGTGGTCGTGGTGGTGGTGCGGCGGCGGCTGCGGCGGCGGCGCGAGCCCTTCGCGACCACCGAGTCCTCCAAATCCATCGACTCATTTCGGTGCGCTCCACCGGAGTGCGAACGCTCCAGGAGGGAGTCGGAGAGCTCGTCCTCATCGTCCTGTGAATGTCGATTGGGACAACTTGGAAGCTTGGAGATAGGCTGTTTTATACACAGTCATTTAATGTGATTTACAATCTGTTTCCTGGTCGTATAGTTTTTCACTGTCTTTCTGGGTTAAGCACTGACAGTTGACCAAATCACCAGATCGATTGGGAACTTCTTAGCCTTTGAGGAAATCTGGACAGGACCCTTTTCGGTAGCAAAGTTCATGGAAGTTCATCGTTTAGGGAGTACAAATTGGACTGATTCAAACCTTAACATGCTTGCAAAAGCAATGTTTGTGTCGGTGCGAAAAGCGTCTTAGAGAAAACAGCCATGAACAAATGATCACAAAACTAATATTATATATATATGGACAATAATCACGGACATGACATCACGTCACGGGTTGATTCGGGCGGTAAAAGCACTGGCTCATTGATCCATCGCTCCTGAATATCGTCTCCCTGTTCTACAACCTGCTCTACCTCTGTCCGGTTGGCAGCTGCTTGGAGTAGCGCTGCGCTGTTCCCTTTGCTGGCTGCCTCGCATGACGCATCCTCCGATTGCACCAGCACCTGGCAGCAGTTTAGCCTGTTTGATGCCCTGTCAGGTGAAAATGAACGAGAAGAACACCCGTTGAGTGACGAAGATCCAATTTCATCCAGTTGTTGACACTGTTTACACATGATTACACATATTGTGCGTGATAGAGGCTGCCTTGCCTGACACAGCCCGGTGAGGGCAGCGAGAAGGCAAAGGCGTAGCGCGCTCATGTGGGGCAAATGGTAAGATCAAATGGGTAAGATTCAGATCTAAGATGCAATCCTGATCGGCTTGAGCCCATAGCGCCGAGCCCATCAGCTTTCAATGGGAAGGAACCCCCTCCGGTCCAAGATGGCAGTCCCTCCAGGTTCGAAGACCGTTGGGGAAAGTGATCCGTGATATGCCTGGAGTTCGCGAGAGCCAATCACAGAAACCAATCATCCAAACACTGCCATTATTAACCTCTACAACCACAACATGTAACATGTAATTATAAAATATTATAAAGGTATATATATATATGCCAAACATAAATTCTCCGGGGTGACTACAGGCAAAAACAACGCCAAGTGGTTGGGAGAGTTTGTCTCGTCACCCACTCTCCAGAACGCCACCCCTGGGGCAGCCGATCGGAAGATCTCGGCGATCAAGAGGATGCATTCCGGAAAGGGGTCCTGCTCTCGCTCACCCCAACAGGTTGGGGGTCCGCAATTAGAAGTGAACACCAGGCCGCACCATTTCAACGGCGCCGTTGGGGTGCTCTTCCTGCCGGAATCCCACCGGGTGAAGCCCTATGAGGCCCATCTTGACGGTGTAAAATGACGTCTAAAAGCAGGCTCCGGGTACTTGTTACTACTAGTAAGGCACTGATACTACTAGCGTGGCACTTGTTACTAATGAAACAATGCAGGCACCGTGCCTTTTCGGTCACAACATTTCAGCATTCGGAGCTTTGTGAGAGAAAGGCCGTATCCGGTCGAAGGAGGAAAAGGCACGGGTACAACCAGCCAAACGCGACACGAGCGTTCGCCATGAAATCTTCAAAGACCGTGGGCCCCAAACTCACAACTTTCTCCAGGAGACCACCTCTCTGGCTTTGGACCTTAGGGTTTCAATACACAAGGGGTAGGAAGCTAGTAGTAACAAGTGCCACGCTAGTAGTAACAGGTGCCTTACTAGTAGTAACAAGAAGCTATTAGCCCTTTGAACCCTATAAACCCTAAGGACGTCAGATCCGCACGACTGGCGTCGTTCCTCGTCGAGGATCCGTGACAAGCCCGGAAGGAAGTCCATGAAAACGCCTCCGCAGAAGCAGCCGGTCTGTCCGGTTGAATCCTCCAGCATTCGGCTGCACCACCCAAAACAATGGTAGACAGCCGCTATCCTGTGTTCTCCATCCAATAGCCATCCTTTGGGTTGTGCTGGTCCCCAAAACCATGATAACACTGAGGTGACCGCACAACGGCATTGTGACGTCCTGTGCGTATAGGCGTCGGAACTATGCGATCATCAAACTGACAAGATTCTGGGCAGCTGTCTGAAGCTTCTCTACATTTGGAGGGCTGCCATGATGAACTCTCCAAGGAAACTGCAGTCATCCATGGGGGAATACAGTGAAAGGGTGAATTGTAGCATTCACAGATTCATAGGACCAGACTTGGAGGCCAAAAACATATGCACCAAATCACTCACTTTTGGGGTAGATAAGGTTTAACAAATTATAACAAATCCATGATCGATTCACCGTTGGCCGGCGTTGGCCTGAGTCATAAAGATCAATAGGAGACAATAGGGGTCATGATAGTAAATAGGGCATCACCTATTCCAGCCATGCCCGGTCACATGGGCCAACTGACTCTGAACAAACCAAGGAAACGACAACTGGGCAACCACTGGGCAATCACAACCCGGGTCCTCCTTGGATATTGATAGAAGGGGTACACTTTCTGGAAGAATAATGGAAGTGGAGTTCACTACCTGTTCGCAAAGGAAAATTGTCATCCAAAATCGGGGCCCTGCCATCCACGTTGGCCCATGATGACTCCAGGTGTAGGAATCACCCAAAAACAGCATAGCAGGTCCTTGTGGCCTTAAGACCTTGCTCCTCGTCAGTCCAGTGAGTCCGTTCTACGAGTTTCCTTGTCAGCCAGGCCAGCCTTGGTTCTTGGGATTTTGGCGGCAAAAGGCTGTAGCAACCTAAGTCGTTGTGAACGACAGCAGCACAAATAAGACAATTAATACATGTATCAAGCAAATTCAAGAGGTATTGGACTTTCGTTGTGTGAAGTTTGGTTGCTCTACGGACTATCTGGTTGTAAAGGCATTAGACAAGGGACACTCTCTGGGCGTAAATAGACATATGCATCCTAGAAATAGACATACGCAGTAGTATAGTCAGTATAGTGATACTACGTATGTAACTTCCAAATATCTATCACTATACTATAACCTCACTTCCAAGTGATAGATACTACTATAGTGATACTATACTTTCAATTTTGCCAAATCTTCCATACTTCAGTAGTGATGGATATGCTCCCTATACCCCCTCAACCTCTTTGCGTCGAGATGCGTGTTATCACAGGTTACGTGTGCCGTTGCCTTTTTTGGCACCGTAGCGGTCAACAAGAAACAAGTGGAAGAAACCATGACCGTGTAGAACATTAAGTACATACACATAGTTAAAGTATCTTAAACGTATCTTAAAGTAAGTATCCTGTCCACTATCGCTCAGAAAAGAAGGTCTCGATGTTCTTGAAGACTGCACATCCAAAGAATGGCGGGGCAGTATAGCACACGCCACTGTATAAGCAAAGGTGACCAGGTCACCTTTGCCCTATGACAAAGATCATAACAAAACCCAGCTTGCCCTCGTCATCACAGTGAAGGGCCCCCCACGCTGCACATGATGGCCGTCAAGCGCACGTGGAGAAAGCGATTCTCAGGATTTGTATCCTGGTCGCCAGGTCGTTGGGCTTTTCAATAGACTGAGCAACTGGTGCATTGGATATATACTGCATCCTCGCAACGCAAAAAGAAAACGTATGTCGATGAACAAAGAACGCGATGACTCTTGCGGTGTGTTGACTCCCTTGAAAGACTTGGAATGTCTTGGCCACAGCATCAGCTCCTGCCAATCCAGCATCAACCAATATCCGGCCACAGAGACAAAGTCCGTGTGGAGCAACATGTCTTGGACCATCCGGCCTGCACCATCTGCCCGCCATTGGCCATTGAACCAAGGCGCAAGAAGAAACAAACCATTGAACCCCCCAAAAGACCTTGGATCATTGCCAAAAAGTCTAGAAGCCACTAAATTCGGTGGTTCTCATGTGTTGGGTCGGCAAACCGGAACGACACTGGTCCGGTGAAAGTTTTGGGTCCGAAGCAGTCCCTCAGCAATCTGGGTGTCTGTCACCTTCCAAAGGTAGATTTCATGGACAAAAGGTTTTCACGTGTTTTCACTGGTAAACGGTGAGCTTGAACAGGGGATGAGATCGAAGTGACACGTTGACATCCCTTTGTTCGTCGCTTTGCCATCGATATCGTCGATTCATAGCGACACCATCCAACAGGGTTCAAGGCTTGCCACTGACTCGGGAGGCAAAATATGTTGCTTGCAAAAGACAGCCAGAATCTTCAGTTTTACCAACAACAGTGAAAAACATGAAAGAACCGGTCCCACCATAATTGCTTGGTTCATATCTTTTCATGGCATTGGTAATTCGTCTGTCGGGAGGTTGCCGGGGCAGTTACTACAAGTACCACTATAATATCATTCCGAAAGCCAAAAAGAAAAAGCACTTTCCAGATCTTACCAGACTGTTTAAGGCAAAGAACCTGCCTGTGGCCGCGGAGTTTCCAGAGCACGCCTTTTGGAGGCGTTTGCCTGGAGGCGTTTGCCGCAGTTCAGAACATGTCGTGAGGTTCTGCCCTAGTTCGGCAAACAGTACACCCCGAGTAGTTGCAACATGGGAACGGAACACTGTTTTTTATTGGTGATCTGGACATATCTGGACCCAACACACTATGATATGAACTGATTTGACCTGAGTCTGCTCTAGTTGAGCAGCCTTTCTGCATCTGTACAAGAAGTTGCCACCAGGGATTCAAATGGATTCAGCATAGATTTCAAGAACTCACGGCAGCCCGCGTGGCCTCACGCATACACTTTGGAAGACCCGAGGAGTTGGGGTGGGCATTCAACTGGTCATTCCATATCAATCGTTCAGTCATATATATATAACATATATGCGTGTTCTCCAAGTTCCACCCGATCCTTAATCCATGTTCTATGCATCCGGGTGTCCACATGATTATTGAACAGCAACATTGCACGAAAACACTCCAGTGTGGATCACTGGCACTGAGCTTCTTGTTCCTAGTAGTAAGGCACTTGCTCCTAGAAGCGATGCACTTGTTGCTAGAAGCTTATTGTTTCTAATAGCTTCTTGTTACTACTAGTAAGGCACTTGCTCCTAGAAGCGATGCACTTGTTACTAGAAGCTTATTGTGTC